AAAAAATGTCACTGTTTAAGTGAAGCATACTTCCAATTTATGTCTTGTTTATTTTTTCTATAAAAGCAGTTTTATGCAAAGCAGTTTCTTCCATTTTTATATCCCCTCTCTGCAGGAGAGGTGGTATACTGATTTATTATATACCCCCACATGGGCTCACAAATTTAGCTTCACACAGTATGTTATGTATGTTTAGAATATATATGAATACATTTTAACAAAACTGAGAACAAGATTAATTGTGAAACACTGATTCCCCCATACATTGCAGCTTATGTCAAGACTCCCACGAGGTATCCCAAGAAAGGTCTTGCCACAAGTAAAACACCTGTGAAATATGAAAATCTAGTCCAACTTCAAAAGTTGTGGTTAAGGTTAAAGTTTTTTTAAGTCGGTCAATGTCTAAGGTCAAGGTCAAATGGTTAAAAATATTTATACCCATGAAAAGAACATAGTATACATGTAACTGATCATCTGAATATGCTGATAAGCAATGTGGTAATAAAAATTAATTCCACAATATTTAGCATATAAGGTCATTTAAACAAATTTGGCTGCCTTCCCCCAACAGACTAACTAAAATTTAAAACTTTTTTTACATTGCAAGACAGGATGGTTTTTTTTTATCCATCTACTCGTCAACAAATATTATGAAATTTTCTGGGAAAAAGATTTTACAACCTACCTAACGAGGTGACTTAATAATTTTACCCTGAGCTGGGAGAGGGCAAACAAACATTATAATCAAGATGGTCTTGCCAACTTGTTTTGACATAATATTGTCTGACCTACTTTCATATTTTCATAAAATACTTTCATATCATTTATTAAATATGAGTTTGCCTTTTTACTTTAATTATACATTTTAAAAAATTAACCATAAAACAATTGTTTTGAATTTGAACATATTTTAGTGAATAAATCAAAAGGATTGGACACAATTACAGGCCATTAAAAGATTTGTAAGAATTTTTGGAAACTCACATGTTTTATTTCATATTTACATTAAAATAACTAGAAGCCTGATTTGTTTCCATGGCAACATTTTAATTTACCTGTCACTGAGTTAATTTCAGAAGTTCTATTTAATTATTGAAAAGAAATTTAAATACTTGACATATATTCATACTACATAACAATTTGTTCAGTTTGGTAAAACATGTTGTTAGATGATCTTCTCTGTTATTTGTGATTAATGGAGGGGGGGGGGTCATTCATGCAATAATTTCTAGAAAGCTGTACATTTACCCATTAATTTATTAATTTTTTTTTATTCTCACAAAACATAAGAATATAAAGTTTATTTAATGATACATGGTTACAAATATATCGGTTGTCAAAATGGTGAATAATTCCATTGAATATGACTAAAAAAAGTCAATTTTGGCAAATTGCCAATTTTCATGCAAAAATTTCTAGAAAGTTTTTGATTTACCCATTAATTTTTTTTATTCTCATAAAACCTTAGAATATATAGTTTATTTAATGATACATGGTTACAAATATATCAGTTGTCAAAATGGTGAAAAATTTCATTGAATATGACTAAAAAAGTCAATTTTGGCAAATTGCCAATTTTCATGCAATAATTTCTAGAAAGTTTTTGATTTACCCATTAATTTTTTTTATTCTCATAAATTCTTAGAATATATAGTTTATTTAATGATACATGGTTACAAATATATCAGTTGTCAAAATGGTGAAAAATTTCATTGAATATGACTAAAAAAGACAAATTTGGCAAATTGCCAATTTGCTAACAACCTTAATGCTGCAATGAAAATTCGCTTAATCTTCATTCAAATATCTTTGAATGAAATTAATTTCTCAGATTTAAGTAATATGAGCTCACATAATATAATTTTCATGTGAATTTTTACTAATTAATTGAATGTGCACAAATTTAATTTAAAACAGAGCAAAATTTGCTTTATCAGAGGGTTCTAAATATAACATCCCTGTTACCATGGCAACCAAATTGAAAAGTTAGACTTTAACATCATATTTATTAAAGACATACCAATTGTAGTAAATGGTGTGAATTTCAGCTAAATCGGAGATATGTCATGTCCACGACCCTATTTAAAATTTTGATTTTTATAGAGAATTGATATTAATACTCAGGAGCAGAGAAGAAGATTTTAAAAGAATTGATGCATGTTCACAATGTGATCTGTAGAGCCCCGCCCAAACATCAGAACCGCTGACCCTGAGGTCATTTTAAAATTCACAATTTTAGAAGAGTAACCCTTCCTCGTCATAACTTTGAAGGTAGTTAGATTTCTTAATACTCAGGAGCAAAGAAGATTTGCAAAGAATTAATGCATTTTCACTATACATGTATAATCAATAAAACCCCGCCCTAACACCAGAACGCCTAACCCTAATCCTTCTATATACCTTATCAGAGATATTGTGTAAATATTATATAAAGCACAATGTAATGAAATTAAAACATTTAATATACCTGCGAAGAGGTCCTTCTATTGATAAATTGTTTTCACAAGTCAAATGTTTGCAATTTGACTTGATTAGAATTGATGATACATCTAAATTCAATTTTAACGGAGACATTTTGGTGTCATCCACTCAAGTAAAGTAGACACGGTAGTAATCTGTAAATAACTGTTTCGGACCAACATTGTAAACAGTCACTTCATATATATGTACATTTAGTAGTTTTTTCCCTTTGTTAAGCTTTATATCGCAGCAGTAGACGTCAAAATGAAAAGCTATCCATGCCTCCTGTAAGCTGAATCAGAATCTGCTGATTCCGACGGCGACCAATCAACCCACAGAAGGAGAGCACATGGTAAATGAGAGTACTGATCTAGCACAGAATCTGGTCACAATGGCTGCGGAAGTGCGAGTATCTGCGACAGATCTAGAACAGCCAACTACAGCGACGACCAACATGGAACCAAACATGTAATTATAACCAGAAGTCTCTGTCAAGACTGTAGCTCTACCGGTTTGTACTTATAATAAAGAAGGAGAAAAGCAGCAGTTGGGACATAAACTTTACAAAAGCAATAAATAGAATAATGATCCTTGATTCCGTTTCTTTTTGTGGCAAGATTGCAAAAAGACTAAAACTTGGGGGGGGGGGTAGCCTTTTTGTATTAAATTCTACAGAATTTTCAATTTTAGCTACCATGGCAACATCGTTCATCGAAACTCATACCCAAAACTGATAACTAAGTATCTTAGTGTAGTCTACTTGCATGTTAAATTATATTATAATCAGATTAAAACTATAGGCGGAGTAGAATTTTAAAAGTATTTTACTAAATTTTCTATTTTTAGTAATCACGAAAACACCGTTCATCGAAATTATAAACCGATGGACAGAATGATGTATCTTAGTGTAGTCTACTTGTGTATGAAGTTATATTGAAATCAGACCAAAACTGTAGGTGGAGTAGCATTTAAAATGTGCATGACAAAAAGGAGTATATATGACAAGAGCCAATTTTGGCCCCCTAAACATCAACATTTTAGAATGACATTTAGATATGTTTAATTGATATTTATTTTGTAGAAGAGATTATATCAGAAATATTTCCAATATATTTTTCACATTTATATGCACTCATTAGCTGTAAATGACATGAGAAATAATGCTATTTTTGCTATCTAACAAAAAACCCAAAAATATGCCTTTTTCTTGATGTTTTTTCTTATGGGAAACATAGAGCGCAGTGTAGAACATACATAATTTTTCTGTCACTAATTAGTATTGGATAGATACATCTTTGGTAAAAATATAAAGCTTGTTCTAGGCTGCGCTCTATATTTTCTGGAAGAAAAACTGCTTGAAAATAAGCAGTTTTATACAAAATATCCTAAAATGGCGGGAAAACGTGATATTCATGATGTCATATTTCTAAAATAACGGCATTTTGATCAAAATGAAAATGATCAATAAAGGTCGCATACATAGCTGTACAAATTAAAGCTATATATAAAGTAAAATTAAGATATTCATTTTAAGGGGCCAATTGAGACATTTACCATATATCGCTCTTTCTATTTTTAGTAACCACGGCAACACCGTTCATCTTAAAATATTTACTTTCGCTGCCATTTTCTACTAAGCCAACTGTGAAATTGATTTGAAAACCATTTTCGTGTATACCCACGCGTAGAAATATACATAGAGAAACGTGCGTTAACGTGACGTCACAATGAGGCAGCAGCGACGTTAGTAAATTGCCATGATATAGGACAGCGGGAAATGCAAATATTATGTATATATTAGTTTCTTCCAAACATATAAAATGTAAATATGAGGAATGTTTTTAAGTTTAGTGTGAATTATTGGTGTATGAATCACACAGACTTGCACGTTGGCATATTTTATATGAAATTTGCCTACGTGACAAATCTGATTAAAAACCGATATACAGAATCATATATCTTACGTGTGTGCCATGTTACTTTGAAATCAGACTTAAACTGTAGGAATAGTATTTTAAAGTATTTTACAAAAAAAATCTTTTTTAGTAACCACGGCAACATCGTTCAGTGAAATCTAAATCCGATATACAGAATTATGTATGTTACTGTTGTAATGTTATGCGTGATAGGGGAGAGAGGATGGCTTGGATATGTCAAGCACAAAAACACAATACATGTGCAGCCACCATTTATTATCTAGTTCCCTAAACTGGTTACAAAACGAAAGTTGATAGTAAAAGTAAACTTGGTACAGTAAATAAAATAAATCCGGAATAAAGTTATGAATATTACTACTTTTCCTTTAACAAAATTTTGAAGTAATAAAATTTAAAGTTCAGTCAATGCCTTTGTTATAATTTCTTATAAAATAATTGGTCTACACATCTTAACAACTTTAAACTTGTTAACAAATAATGACTTGGGTAGACTGCCCGGTCAAATAAAATGACTAGAAATAATGGGGATTATTCTGCCCCACTTACAAACACAAAAGTTATTTGCACAAATCATTCATCACTGACACATCCTTGAATCTAATTCTATTCCTCAAAACGTTTGGGCTTTCGTACTTCTCGTCCAGATCGGGTACGATAACTTCCAGTAGGATTACGTGGAGATTGCTGTTCCGAAACGATAGCACTCTGAGAGTCTACTGCTGTATTAGATTCCTGTAAACTGTTTGGCTCATCATCAATGGATATTGCTGGTTTTGGTTTAAAGTTTTTCTCCTTTGAAATAAGAATGTCCTTCCGGTTTCTACGGTATTCCCCTTCTGGTGTGGTCATCCAGTATGATCGGTTTTCGTTCTTCATCACATAACCCGGTTTCCATTCATCTTTGTGTCTGAATCGAACAGCTTGTCCCATAGAAATCTTTGGTTGATCTCGAGCTGAGTGATTGAAATAATATTGTTGTCTCCTTTGCGCTTCCTTTCGATCCTTGACGACGTCTTTGGTTTTCACCGTTTTTGGTCTAAGTTGCCTTTTGGTAACAGGTAATATGGATCTCAACTCTCTGCTCATCAATAACTTAGCTGGTGATTCTGTATCCGTTGGTGTGTTCCTGTATTCCAGTATGGCCAAATAAGGGTCACTTCCGTCAACTCTCGATTTCTCAAGTAGTCGTTTTACCGTTTGAACTGTCCTCTCTGCAAGTCCGTTAGCTTGTTGATGGTAAGGACTAGAGGTAGTATGCTGGAAGTTCCAATCCTTAGCAAATTGTCTGAATTCCTGTGAAATATACTGAGGTCCATTGTCACTCTTGACTTCATACGGAATGCCATGTCTCGCAAACATGGACTTAAGTCTGTCAATCACAGTACTACTTCTGGTGTTAGGTAGTTTTGCAACTTCAAAATATCTTGAGTAGTAGTCGGTAACAATCAAGTAGTCACTGTTGTGTAGGCTGAACAAATCTGTTCCTACTACTTGCCATGGTCCTTCAGGAATGGTTGTCGAGACAAGAGGCTCCTTAGGATTTTGGTTTCTGAAATCCATGCATGTGTTGCACTGTAGAGTCATATTGTCAATGTCTCTATTCATATTGGGCCAGTATACAATGTTTCTAGCTCGACGCTTGGTTTTCTCCATGCCCATGTGTCCTGTGTGTAATTGTCGCAAGATTTCCGGCTGAATATCTCTCGGAATCACGATTCTTTCTCCCTTGAGAATCAGTCCATCTACCACAGTAAGAGTATCTTTGACCTTCCAGAATGTCTGTAATGTCTTATTTGCTGTAAATTCCTTGTGCTGAGGCCATTCATTCTGAATGCAATCTTTCACTCGTTTAAGGTCATCGTCACCTTTAGTTGACCTGCGGATGTCCTCGAGAATGTTCCTTGACATAGGCACACTTTGTAAGAACACAGAATGAACAAACGTATCCAACTCTTGAGTCAAAGTTTGAGATTCCTGTTTGTTGACGGGAAGGCACGCTCGTGATAGTGTATCTGCAACTACTAGTTCTTTGCCAGGCTTGTATTTGAAAGTAAACGTGTACTTCTGTAATCTAAGTAGAAGTCTTTGAAGTCTTGGCGGTGCTTGAGAAAGAGGTTTTTTCAGTATTGACTCGAGTGGTTTGTGATCATTTTCCACTGTGACGTCAACACCGTATGTGTACTGATGAAACCGTTCCAGCCCGAATGTCACCGCAAGGAGTTCTTTTTCAATCTGTGCGTATCTTGTTTCAGCATCTGTAAGCGCCCTCGATGCATATGCTATGGGTTTGTCATTTTGTAGAACAACAGCTCCTAATCCTGACTTTGACGCATCTACACTTACAATCACAGGTTTCTTGACATCAAAAAATGTAAGAACAGGTGTTTCAGATAAAACTCTCTTGATTTCCTTGAATGAACTCTCCTGCTCATGGTCCCAGTGAAATGTCACATCCTTCCTTAAAAGTGTTCTGATGGGTTGTGTTATCCTCGACATATTGGGTATGAACTTCGCCAGATAGTTGATGGTCCCTAATAGTCGTTCAACTCCCTTTTTGTCCTCTGGTGGGGGCATCTTAGTGATGGCTTCTATCTTCCTGGGATCTGGTTTGACACCTTCACATGATAAAATGTGTCCAATGTATGTGACTTCAGAACTTCGAAATACACATTTGTCTTTGTTAAGAGTCAAATTTATCTCTTTACACTTTTCTAGCACTGTTCTTAATCTCTGGTCGTGTTCTTCTCTAGAAGTTCCCCAGACCAAAATATCATCTATGTCCACTTCCACTCCAGGAATGTGGCTGAAATGTTGTGAGATGCGCTTCTGGAAAAGTTCTTGAGCACTTTTTATTCCAAATGGCATCCTTCGGAAACAATAACGACCAAAAGGTGTGTTAAATGTTGTTAGTTTTTGGCTTTCCGAATCAAGTGGTATCTGGCAATAACCGCTGTTGGCGTCCAGTTTGCTGAAAACTTTGGCACCTGCAAGACGAGTAGTGATCTCCTCAATCGTGGGTAGTTGATAGTACTCTCGCTTGATTGCCTTATTTAAATCCCGTGGGTCCAGACATATCCTCAGTTTACCATTGGATTTTTCTGCACAAACGATGGAACTAACCCATTCCGTTGGCTCGTCCACTTTTCCAATGACGCCCTGGGACTCCATTCCATCTAGTGAGGCTTTCAAATCATCTCTAAGTGCTGCTGGAAATGTTCTAGGTGGGTGTACAACCGGTTTCATTGTTGAATCAATCTGTATGTGGTACGGTTCCTGCAAACACCCTAATCCTTGGAAAACTGATGAGAACTCATCGTATAGTTCCGCGTCCTCTTCCTTTTTCTGAGTCGCCATTGTGAGCTTTACCAGTCCTAGATCTACACAACATTTGAGTCCAAGCAATGGTATAGTGTCTGTTTTAGTCACATAGAACTCTAAGTTGTGATTCTTGTGTCTAAGAAAACACTTTCCGATAATAGGTATGTGGTTGCCAGTATAACTCGTCAACTTCACAGAGGTTTTTGTGATCTGTTTTTTCACTGGTAGTTTACTCAACAATTCTCTAGATATAATGTTCACTTGTGAGCCTGTGTCAATCTTCAGTTTGACAGTCATTTTGTTGAACTCGAGATTCACATATGCTTCATCCTTAACAACAGTACTTGGGGTCTTGCTCACTGCATCTATAAAGAATTCTTCATCTGTCGGTACTTCATCATGCTCAACAGTATTCACATTTTTAGTTCTGCACATTTTCGCAAAATGATTCGGCTTGTTGCACTTTAGGCAGCTTTTCCCGTACGCTGGACATTTTCTAACATCATGACTAGTCCCACACTTTCCACATGTTTTCCCTTTACTTTTTTGTTCATGTGTGCTTACCGGTCTTGTGCTTTGTTTCTTTCTGTTGTTTCTGTTAGCTGACTGCCTGTGATGGTCTCGGTCCTTTGATTTCTTGAACACTGCGGCTGCTGTAGCTTCCTCGCTGTGTAGGTCTTTAAGGTGAATAGCAGACTCCTCATTTGCTCTGCAAACACTTAGTGCGCTCTCTAATGTCAGTTTGTTGTCACGAAGTAGCCTCTCTTTCACTTTCTCAGAGTTTACGCCACAAACAATACGATCGCGCAACATATCCTCCTCTAATGCTCCAAATTTACAGTTTTAGCTATCACACGCAAATCTGTAACATACTGATCGATTGTCTCTGTTTTACCTTGTTGCCGTGTGTGGAATCTGTGTCTCCATACCGTTATGTTTTCCCGGGGTGCACAGTACTCCTTGAACTTCTTAAACAAGGGCTCTATCTTATCCTTGTCGTCATCCGGAATTGTCATCGTGTTGAAAATTTCACGCCCATCTTGCCCGATTATGTAGAGGAATGCACTGCAAAGATCCTTTTCGTCCCGCCCGTGCATGGCTATATTTAGATATAACAGCATGGTTTGTTCCCATTTCCTCCATCGTTCGGGGAGATTTCCATCTGAAGAGGAAAAATCCAATTCCGGTAGTGGTCTTATGTGCTCCATCTGACACCATGTAATGTTATGCGTGATAGGGGAGAGAGGATGGCTTGGATATGTCAAGCACAAAAACACAATACATGTGCAGCCACCATTTATTATCTAGTTCCCTAAACTGGTTACAAAACGAAAGTTGATAGTAAAAGTAAACTTGGTACAGTAAATAAAATAAATCCGGAATAAAGTTATGAATATTACAACTGTAGTCTACTTGTGTGCCAAGTTATATTGAAATCAGACCAAAACTGTAGGAGGTGTACTATTTCAAAAGTATATTACACAAATTTCTATTTTTAGTAACCATGGCAACATCGTTCATCGAAATTATAAACTTATACAAAGAATTATATATCTTAGTGTAGTCTATTTGTGTGTGAAGTTATTTTGAAATCAGACCAACACATGCATTTTGGGTCAAAAAAGGTGGGGAATAAAGATTGTTCTATCGCTTGTAGCTGTGTCGGATGTATTGAATGACATTCAATCCAATCCCGATGCTCGAGGTATTTGATAAATCCTTTCCGTGAATAATTTTTAAACAATTAAATTAAAAAAAAAAACCTTAAACCACTTTATAGATAGTATATTTTTTCGAGGAAACGATATGGCTGTACACAGCATTGCATATTTTGAATTTGAAAAATGACCATATTCTATATTTCCCATTGAATTGGTCTCTCTCTCTTTCCCTCTCTCTCTCTCTCTCTGTTAATACCACCCCACACTCTTTTTCCAAACATAACCTTTTACTGCTGAAAATGTTAACCGAAAGATAAGAAATAAAATTCTTATGAAGTGGAAAACACAAGTCCAGAATTATGTATCTTAGTATAGTCACCTAGTGTGCCAAATTTTATTTAAATCGGACCAAAAAGTTTTTAGAGGAGTATCGTTTTAAAAGAATTACACAAAAATTTATATTTTAAGTCACCATCGAAATCAAAAACAGATGCAGTAGTTTATATATCTTAGTGAACTTTTGTGCCAAGTTATATTAAAATCAGACCATATTTGTAGGAGAAGCAAGAGAATTTCACAGAAATTTCTATTCTTAGTAACCATGACAATATCGTTCAGCAAAATCAAGAACTGATGCACTAGTTTATGTATCTTACGGTAGTCTACTTGTTTGCTAAGATGTATTAAAATCTGACCAAAACTGTAGGAGGAGAAGCATTTTAAAGGAATTTCACAGAAATTTCTATTTTAAGTAACAATGGCAACACCGTTTATCAAATCAAAAACAGATGCACTAGCTTAATATGTATCTTAGTGTAGTTTTATTGTGTACCAAGTTATATTGAAATCAGACCAGAACTGTAGGAGGAGTAGCGTTTTAAAGGGATTTCTCAAAAAAATCTATTTTTAGTAATCTTGGCAACACCGTTCATTATAGTGCATTAGGTATCCATATTATGCCCCCCCATCCCCCTCAACCAAGACGCTGTGCATTTTTTAAAAAAATGATCAACAACAACACTTCACTAATAATTTTGTCAAAAGTAAGGGAGTAGATCCTAATGTTGCGGGTTTGAATCCCTTTGTGAGACTAGGAGACTGGTCATTCAAAAGAGACCGTGTAAACTAAGGGGCCATGTCCCAATAGATGCTGGCACAAAAAGATCCCTCACTTTTCAATGGTTGTCAGTTCCTATTATAGGAATTAATGTGGTGCTTTACGCCGGCAAGCTTACATATTAACAAAAAATTCCTGAGATGGACATCAAACAAAATGCATTCTACTATCAATCTTTAACATGTTTATTGTCCCTTGAGAAAATTGATCTCTTATGAGATATTGCCACTACCACTGAAGTTCCTCTCGCGAGGGGATGCTCCGCTAAGCGGTGCCCTTGTTTACATGGAGACAAGATAAAGCTCCACTGTGAATTCTACATTTTCTTGCGTCAGCTCCCCCTCGACAGAAACTACAGGCTCCAGGAACCCCCGAGAATTGACTAGTACCTGTTCAACAGGGAATTCCCAGTCGACCGTCTCGGGAAATCCCGTGATGCCGGATTACTCCCGACCATCAACAAGCTCTTTGGGGAATCCCCGGCCATCGACCTCGTCTTCAAGGAATCGTCCTGAATGCAATTTGAATGATGAGGGCACAGAAGAGGACACGGATGAACAAGATGAAGACATACGGCTCAAATGGGCTTGCGAAGATGCAGTGATCGAAATGTGAGAGAGTTAGAAAACGAAAGAGGTCAAAACAGAAGAAATCTTGTTCTACCAAGGAATTAATCTGAGAAAACGAAAAGCTGAAAAACAAACTTTTAACTTGTTTATGTAAGAATAAGAACAAGCTCGAAGGTGTGAATTCTGAATCATCCTAATCTTCAGAATCTGATTAGACTACACTGTGACTTGCTTCTATGTAGGACATCCTGAATTAAAGTCTACTTAATTAAACGTGTTTTATTTGGAAAAAAGGGTGGGGGCATTTTAGAAAGAAAATTATTAGTTAACAGAGTTTTGATTTCAACGCAGTAATAGTTTTCACAGGTAAGAGTGATCTGCCCTTTGATGTAGAATATTTAATAATTGACAAAATTTTCAATAAAATAAGGCAAGCAATAAAACATAAAATAAACAATGATGTGGCTTTGTTTCTTGATGCTTCATTTTTAACTGAGCATTTAACATGAAGCATGGAAAGTATTTAATCTTGAAAGTGAATGAGATAAGCTCGAATAATCCGACTTAACTCATTATGAGTTAAGTCATGTTATTAAGAGGAAAACTACATCACCTTATGCAAGACCAGGAACCAGGTCCGCCAGGACATATCAATCACAGGACCCTCCCCCTACGACCTCATCAACGGGACATGCCTCCTCTACAGAATCCAGCCACGCTGCCACTGCTAGTCTTGGCTCCATTGCTCCACCGTCAACAGCTACGCAGGCAGCTCAGCTGCTCTTCCTACAGCGGCATCAACATCTAGTACTTCAGGTGCTGTATTTAGCGTTCCTACATGCATACCAGTTCCCTCATACAATAGCCCAAAACCTCTAATTAGTGTCTCTGATGTGTTGGGGCTACATGTCCCAATCATTGAAGGAAAAAATTTGGGGGAAAGAATACATATAGTTAGCTAAAGTCTTAGAGTCTGAGTCAGATTCGGAAAAGGCCCAAAAGTTCTCAATAGTTGGAGGCCAGTTAGTTATGCAACCGAAGTCTGTTACTAAAAAAATTACATCTATTGAGTCCTGGACTGATGCGTTCTTAGTGTTTTCTAGTATTTATTTGGCTAGACACTCAGCAGACATGCATGGCATTTTAAAGTACATGCAGACCATTCGTCTAGGAGCTAGTCGAAACCCATCTGCTTCGTGGTTGGAATATGACAAACAGTTCAGGCTTAAAATGTCTAAGCACACTAGTATATCTTGGGGGTCGGTCGATGCAGAATTGTGGTTATTGTACATGGCAAATCAGACACTCCCACAACCAACTCAGTCAACACTCAAATATTATGATTATAATTATAAAGGTTCGTGCGTAAAAAAATCCCTGCTCATATATGCACTTGTGCATGTACTGTCACAAAAACCATCCAATCATACACTGCTGGTCAAATCCAACCAAAACTCCATCTAACAACAGACAAAATATCCCCCAATCAGCCCAGTATAATTTTCGGCCCCATTCCTTCCCCCAATCTACAACGCGACCCAGACATTTCTCCCAAACACCCAGACAAAGATATATGGGACCTAGGTTTAACCCCAATTAAGCTGGCCCCCCTACAAAAGCACCTGTCTCAATACCCTGATAAGGAAACTGCTCAGTATAAATTAAATGGTATCCAAAATGGTTTTGCTTGTTTTATACAGGATTGAGGCTTCCCATGCAACCAAGAAATATGTCCTCAGCTAAGAATCAACTATCTGAACTCCAAAGTATAATTGACAAAGAAATTCATCTTGGTAGGATGGCCGGGCCCTTTGATAACTCTCCAATATCTAATCTAAGGAGTAATCCCGTAGGTGTACTTCCCAAAAAAGATGGCAGTTGGAGATTAATAACAAAGAATCTTTATCTGGCCCCATTGGTAAAAGTGTCATTGACTTCATTGACCCATCTTTGTGTCCAGTGTCCTATGATTCTTTTGACCATGCCATCTCAATGAATAGGGGGCCCTATTTTGTAAGATGGATTTGTCAAGTGCTTTTAGGTTAATACCAATCCATCCATCAGACTTCTGTTTATAAGGTATATGCATTGATGATATATACTTTATAGACAAGTGTATGCCTTTTGGTTGCTCAATAGCGTGCTCAACCTTTGAAAAATTTTCATTCTTCCTTCATTGGTTAGTTTCAAAGAGAGCTCATAGTTCAAATATTATACATTATTTAGATGATTTCTTGTTTGCGGGAAAGGCGGATACCCCTAATTGTTCACAGTTATCAGAAATATTTCAATCTACCTGTGAGGAACTAGATGTCCCAATTAACGCTAAAAAAACAGAGGGGCCGACAACTATGCTCTCATTTCTTGGTCTGGGTATTGATACTATAAAACAAACTATTTTTATTCCATCAGACAAATGCGTTGAACTTGGGTCCAAACTTACCACCCTGATCTATTCTAACAAAA